TTAGATTTATATAATACGTGACTGGACCCGTAACTTAGTTATTACACCGCATCACATTCTACTTTGTTTAAATAGTCTTGGAACTTCAAATTTTTTATACTAAAATTGTTATTTGACACCCCCCATTTTTAACTATTGTCCAAACACCCCGAGAAATTGCCCAAATAAAAATAATGGATTTGAAGATTACGAATAAATTTAGATAAAATCCTTAACACGTGTTTTCAAGTAGCGGCAACTTATGAAACTTTACAATATGGTTAATGCTTTATTGATGATTTTGTTATCTCAATTATACACATATAAGGAGTGCTGCGATCTAAATAATCATTGAAGTTGAATACGATTTTATATATTACGGTTATTTGAGTTTCAGAGTTTTGCCCGACAAAATAGATTGTTTACATTTTTTTTATTTTTTTTTTTATTTATTTATATTATACATATTACATGGGAATCCCTTGTGGGTTGAAACATGCGTAAAAAGTAAATTTTTTGATAATTACAATTTTGCTTAGAGAAATAAAGGAAAAAATAAAGGTTTATAATCAGAAAGTTAAAGCTTAGAAAAAGTGTTACATATTTTGATCTTAATGTTTTGTTTTATACCAAAAAAAGAAAGAGAGGGTTATTTCTATTTTAACTTTTTTATCTTTTCTAGGAAAACAAAATAAAAAAAAATTTTTTTTTCTTAATTCTTAAATATTAAATTTATGTACTGTCGACCTGATTTTGATAAAAAGCGATACAGATGGCTCTAATTTCAGGTCCAAGGCCTAAATATTCTATATTTTTCCAAACGTTGTAATAATTATCTTGAGTAAGGGTATCATACAATTTGTCAGAATCACCATCATATAAAAATTCCAATAAAGATTCAAAATTTTCAGGAGAAGGTACATTAATTTCGATTATAGTGTTTTTTACTTTAACGGGTTCAAAAATATCTTGAAAGAAACTTGATTGCAACATTAACCATTCTTTATGAACCCAAAATGGTCTTTCTATACCATTCACATGCAACGCTGCGAATGATGTAGATTTATCACCTAAATAGACCGGACCCAATTGATGTAATTTCGATATAATAAATGTAACCGGAATACCATCAAGGGTTGCAGCGGATGAGAAATTTCTGAATTGAATTTTTTGAAATCGAGATGAGATGGTTGACATTTTTTGAAAAGTGAAAGAAGGTTGCTTAAATTGTAAAGAAGATTTTACAATTGACGTGAATTGATGAGAGATGAAAGAATGGGGGGACTTTGTATTTTAAACGAAAACCTCTTTTTAGGATTCAAACTTAATATCGATCTTTAGTATTGGTTTTTTAACACTTATTTGATAAGAGCAGACTTTGATAAAAAAGTAAGTGTAGAGCAAAAATCCAAATTGAGGAGTCACTTCTTTTTATTCTTTTTTTTTGAAGAAAATTCGGCATATGTATTGTTCTCGGTAATTGCTGCGCAAATAGATTTGACAACACAATATTAGGGAATTAGGGTCAGGATGATCGCGTGTCACTTTTACATAATCGGAAAAAGATCGACACATGCTTGTTTCAGGATATTTTAATTTTTTTCTTGGAAACAATAAATTTAAAGTTTCTGAAACATTTTAATATTAACAAACAAATCTTCAAAACTTGGGGAAATTTTTTCTTTTTTGACATTTTGACAATTTTGAAATCGTTATAATAGGAAGTTGACAATACAATTTCCGAACTTTTTTCCGAGCCCGATATGATCTTCAACACATTTAATACATTTTTTAAATGCAGATTGTACATCATGTTATAAACCTTAAAGTGTTTGAAAAACCAAAAAAATAAGCTCATAAAATTGTTTTAACGGTTTAAAATAAACTAAACGTCTTTTTTGGAAATTTCTTTAATTACTTGTATGACGAGGTTTGATATGATTTCCTTTTTACAATTCATTTTACGTCAATCATTCCGAAACAAGTTAAACACAAAAAATGTGGCACAGTTAAATATAATGAATAAAATTTCTCTTTTGTACGAGAATTACAATATTTCCTTTTTTTTTTTTTAGGGAGCCCCCTTCGATATACATCCATTGATAAACAATAAATAACATTGTTTAATTGTTAGGTTTTAAAATTTTACGCCACACCTCGATCCCTCTTTGAACTTCAAACATATATTAATAAAAATTAACATACGCCAAATTGTTACAGACAGAGATTGAATAAATATATACATCAATTCAATCTCCAACCGCAGTTAAAAATGTTGAAAACGGTTTTTTTTCACCGATATCGCCGGGAACGTGAAAAAAAAATTTGGAAAATAACGAAAAAAAGAATGATCTGCTCCCTGTGAGGTTCGAACTCACGACCTTCAGATTATGAGACTGACGCGCTGCCTACTGCGCTAAGGAAGCCGGATCACAAACTAATACAAAATTCATTAATTATAAATAATTATCCAATTTTGGTTTAACACTATTTATCGATCATCTTATATTTGGTATCGGATTTTATTTACGAATCATATTTAGACACAAAAAAAAAAATAATACGGTTATGTATTTTTTTTAACGACATGATTTCCAGATTTGGAAATTACAATAGTCATTTGATAAAATTGTTGACCGATTCTCTGCTGAATGGATAAAATACATTCCACTCTTGCATTAAAGACTTTTAATAATTTTTGTTCAATATGATAATTTATTTTGATATAAAATTAAATTTCAATGCCTCCGTTTAAATTACAATCCAATTAAATTTTAATGCAGTAGAATCAATGTGAAACAACAAATTTATTATTATTAGTATCAATACATTCCAAAAATACTTGGCTGACATATTAATTTAAAGCTTTAGTTGTTTACCTACGATTTTTAATCTTGTGTGATTTTCATTAAACCCGTGCTTCAAATTTTCGATTGAACATTTATTTAATCTCCATCATTTCCTTTGATCCACTTGATAATGAATTTATTGAATTTATTGAATATAAACTTTGCACCATTTGATAATTCACGTGATACTAAAAAATTTCCAAAAAAATTATATGTAACCGCAGGCGAGAATTAGAGTCACTGCGAAAAGCGTAATCTACATAAAAGGCCATTTTCTGTACAAATTCCAACCCAAAAACAATCACAAATTTCCTCAACAATTAAATTAATTAAATTCCATTCAAATAAGTCTTGACACTTATTGGTGTTGCTGTTATCAGGACGCGAATTTTCTACCACGAGTAGCCCTCGACCAGAATACTTTTCAATTAATAAGGCTTGTTTCCGATATATTTTAAAGTCAACTATACCGTTAAGAGGTACAATTATATTGGAAATTACTAATGGATGGATTTGAATGAAATTCATATATTTAAGTAAAGATAAAGTCTTGATCGGATATTTTGCATGAGATTCTTCCGTGTTGTACAGGATATTACCTTCCACTTTTGCATGTAACCTTGCAATTATTTCTGAAGAATGCAAATATGACTGATAAAGTGATAATGCGTCTTCCGAGAATTCATTTGCAGCCCATAATATAATGTAATGAAATAATTCATATTCCGATTTGGATTATTCCTCGAACTCTTCTCTTTCGATCTTTGATAAAATACAATTCAACGCTAATTGGAGCAGAATTAATAATATTAAAATGAATCAGCTAACTCATTATTAGAAGTATCCATAAATTCCAAAAGTTGAGATAGAATTTAGCCGAAATATTGATTCTATCCTCATGGCTTGTTAAATAATGCGCTATGATTTCAACCTTCAACGTCGTCTCTGTTACTTTCCCGGTATATGAATAAATATTCAAGAATAACGTGTAAAAGTTTCTATCACATTCGGCGTGGATTCTTTCATTCAATTTAAATAACCTGAACGTGTCAGCATTAACGATGAGCATTTCCATTGTTTCCTTTTTATTTTTACATCACTATATAAGATGTTTTCTAATGCAAATTTTAAATTGTCCAAAAAAGAGTCAGTTGTAATATCTATCGTTGAATTGGATTGCATAATTGAGAGTATTGAGAGAGAAAAATCCGAACATTGAAAATTTTTTAATTTTTAAAATTTTTATAAAGTTTTGTCACCTAAATTAAATAAATGTTAGGTGATTGTAGACGTTGTTGACGCGTAAATTTTGTGCGCGATAAAACCTTATCCAGATTTCATAAGATTTATGAATGGTTTCCAAAGTACAAATTCCAAACCAAATAAATTTTTTTCAACCACAATAACCCATTCATTACTCTTATGTGATTACTTTTCAACTAATAAAAATCTTGTTTCTACAGTATATTCAATTAATGAAATTGTTCTAAATCCATTTAATTAAGTAGGAAATTAACGTCCCACTCTTTCGCGTATGTAGTGATAAATTTTTCAATAATTTCTGGTAAGCAAAATTCCATCATATTTGCGTGGATTCTCTCATTTAATTCAATAACATACGCCTTAACAATTCTGAACTTGCGACTAATATCACTTGCTGAGCATATAAGTCGTTTCATTATTGGGAGATTCTAAATAAGGTTATAATATCACAAAAAATGTTTGTTTTTGGTTCGTTATAGTAACATACAAGTACAAAATACAATTTTAATTAAACCAAATTTTGTTGTTGAAAGCGCGATTTATAAATGTTCTTAAGTACAACTTTGTTTACGCTCCCGCACAAATGCAAGGTGTCACACATCTATAATAAAAAGTATTAAAAATTTCTCATGTTAAACAATTTAAACTTTTTGTATGCATCTTTTATTTACATATTATAATGTCCTACGCTTCGCTCCGGACAATAAATGTAGATATGAATTAAAACCGTTGAATATAAGCTTTTAGGAGAAATTACATTCAAAATGAAGATGTAAAAGACAAATTTCAATCCAAAATAAATTGAGAAAGGCTAAAATTTATAATCACGTATCAGATAAAAAAAATGTTTACCTAATTTGAAAATAAAAAAAATTTTTTTTTTTTTTATTTGAAAAACGAGCGCATTTCTCAAGCACATTGAATCTTCGCCCTTCCAGGTGCGTTTAAAGATACTGCAGGATAAACTACATCAGGTAAATTCCTAAAGGCTACAGGATATCTTTTTCCATTTATTGAAAAAGAGCAAGTTCTTTCAATCATATCTAAATGCACAGTGATTTTAGAACCTTTACCAAATTCCTCTCCATATTTATCTGTATAAGGTCCATTCTCTTGCTGCGTATCATGACAGATTATTCCATTCGAACCCAGAACCCATCCGTATGCTTGCTTTCCAAGCCATGAGTTGTAATCTACTTCAAATCCATTTTCTGTACAAATTCCAACCCAAAAGTGACTACAAATTTCCTCAACCACAATATTCCATTCCAATAAACCTTCGATAATTGGTAATGATGTTCTGATCCATTCATGTGATGAATTATACGTAAAAGCAATAGAAGGACTTTTATCAAATCGCATTTTATTACCACGCGCGCGACCATCCCATTGAAACGAAGCAACATTCTTCAATATATTAAGATAAGTTTCAGCTAATAAAGCTTTTTTCCGATATGTATCTAATAACATATTTGAATCAATTATACCGTCAAGAGGTTCAATTATTTCGGAAATGACCGATGGATGAATTTGTCCTAAATCCACATATTTAAGTAAAGATGAAGTCATTGATAACATTGCTGACCGGTATTTAGCATGAGATTCTTCCGGGTTAGATAGGAAATTACCGTTCCACCCTTTCACGTGTGTAGTGATAAATATTTCAATAATTTCTGGAGAAGGTAAATATGACTTATAAAATAATAAAGCTTCTTCCGAGATTTTATTCGCAGCCCATAATATGATGTAATATAATAATTCATATTCAAGATTATTCTCTTCCTTTTTGTTCTTTGATAAAACACACTTCAACGCTTTATCGTTTAAATTACAATATTCAATAGATTTTAATGGAGCAGAATTAATGATATTGTAAAGTGTATCAACTAAATCATTATTAACATTATCCATACATTCCAAAAGTTGAGATAGGATCTTGGCTGAAATATTTATCTTATTTTCCTTGTTCTTTATATCATGTAGAACAAACTCAGTAATTTGAAGTTTTAGTTGATCAAGTAAAAAATAATCAGCACTATGAAAAGCTTTAGCAATGATTTCTATCTTCAACGTCTTCTCGGTCACTTTCCCGGTATATAAATATTCAAGAATAACGTGTAAAGTTTTCGAGGAAAACTCTGGAAATTCTATCACATTTTGCGTGAATTCTTTCATTTCATTCAATAACATGAGCCTAAACACCTCTGAACGTGCCACTAATATTATTCGATGAGCATTTATTTCTTCTCCGTCGTTTCCTTTTAGCTTTATATCACTAAACAAAGGATTATCTAATGCAAACTTTAAATTTTCCGCTGTATTTTCATTTTCTGCTAAATTGGATCTCATTGTTGAAAAATGAAAATTATAGATTGTGATGTTCAGTCTAATTACACAAATTCTAAGCCTATAACAAAACCAGTTTTAAGCTCGTTTTGGTGTGTCACCAATATCTCGAGAAATAACTAAAGAAAAACAATTATGGAACGGAATCTTTCATAATGAACCTAATTTCTTCCTTTTCCATCATTCCGTGATAAACAATTTGATTATTGTTATAATTAGTATATAGGCTTTTTTTTCTTCACATATAAATTTCAATAATGTTTTCAAATTTAAACTTGACATGGGCAAGGGCGTTGCTCAAAAAAAATGTCGGCAAGCATTATATTGATAATAATGAATAAATAAATTAAATAAAGTTTCTTCAAAGTCTCTCCCCGTTCATAGATAGAAATTCACTATCGATCGATCTTTTTGTTTATTTTTTTTTTTTTTAAAAAAAAAAAAAAAAAATGTTTCATTGTGACTCAATTCATCAAATACCCATTTGAGACATACTGTATCACAATCGACAAGTATAAATTGATCAAAAATTTTAGTTACATCTGCTATTTAATTTTTTTTTTTTTTATATATATTTAAAAAAAAAATTAATTTTTTGCTGCGCGTTTTTGTAATTATAACGTAAAATTAAAGGTAAGTATCAATATCCCACTTTCTTTTAACATCGATGATAAGATTAAAAATTATATTAATCTATGAAGGAAATTAATTATCACAATGAGCACCAAAGAGGAGAATCTTCTTTTAGATGAAGTGACAGGGGAGAAAGTATCCAAGAAGTATGTAAAAAAGAAAAAAAAAAAGATTGATTCACTCGATTCCTATTATGAATGAATTAATTTATTTATAAGTGTTATAGTGAATTGAAAAGACGCATTAAGCAACGGGAAAAAGAAGCAAAGAAGGTATAGATTCGATTAATCGATTTACTTTTGATTGTTTTTTGATGTACTAAAAGAGATGTAATTTAATTGATCGATACAGGCTTCTAAGGCTGCAGCTACTTCAACTGCAGAAAAACCCGAAAAAACCGAAAATTCCGAGGAATCTGAAGAAAATTTAAACCCTAATGTAGGTTATATGGGTTGATTGCTAGGAAAATCAGGTTCCGGGAATTTTTTAACAAAATTGAGATTTTTTATTGCATTTTAGTTTTTGATGTTATTAGATTAAAATGTATTAAGCTCTTAATTTAAGTCAAAAATTTCTAAGAACCTGATTTTCTTAGAAACCCTCCCATATGAAAGATAGTAATCTGATTTGTTAAATACACGTTTTCAAATCGATTTAACTTTGACAAAGATTTTTTAACAAGATTTTTGAATTTTACATAGCAATATTTTGAAATTAGATCCAAGCATGTTCTTAAACTTCGAGAATCACATCAACCTAATCCCTATCCACATAAATTTCATGTGGAGCTTTCCATTCCAGAATTCATTGAAAAATATGGTAAACTTGAACCTGGTCAACATTTAGATGAGGTTATTCAGATTGCCGGTAGAATTCATAACAAAAGGACCAGTAGTGCCAAACTAAGATTTTATGATTTACATGGAGATGGCGTCAAGATCCAAATCATGGCTCAAGCACAGTAATTAATTCGTTCTTTTAATTATATGAAACAATTTTATCTTATTGAATTTATATACATTTTTTCTTAATGATATTATAGAGATTCTGAACGTGACTTTTTTGAAGTTCATGATTTACTTCGACGTGGAGATATTGTAGGAGTCCGTGGATGTCCAGGCAAATCCAAACGTGGTGAATTATCAATCTTTCCCAAAGATGTTATTCTTCTTTCACCTTGTTTGCATATGTTGCCTAAAGCGCATTATGGGCTTAAGGATCAGGAGACACGTTTTCGTCAACGTTATCTTGATTTGATTATGAATAATAATGTTCGAGATAAGTTTATTATTAGAGCTAAAATTGTAAACTATGTTAGAAAATTTTTGGATGATCTTGAGTTCCTTGAGGTGATAATTCAAAATCAATTTTTTTTAAAAACAAAAGGAAAAAAAGATCGGTTATTTAATTTTATTTATATTTTAGGTCGAAACTCCAATGATGAATATGATCGCTGGTGGAGCTACTGCTAAACCATTTATCACTCATCATAATGATCTCAAACTTGATCTATTTATGAGAGTCGCACCAGAATTATACCTAAAGATGCTTGTGGTCGGTGGATTGGATCGTGTATATGAAATCGGTAGACAATTCCGTAATGAATCCATTGATCTTACACATAACCCTGAATTTACTACGGTCGAATTTTATATGGCATACGCGGATATGTATGATTTGATGGAAATTACTGAAAAGATGCTGTCAAGTATGGTTAAAAGTATCACAGGAGATTATAAGGTTGTTTATCATCCTCATGGACCTGAAGGAGAAGCTATGAATATAGATTTTACTCCACCATTCAAGAGAATTAACATGATTGAAGCTTTGGAAGAAAAATTAGGTGTCAAATTTCCACCAGCATCTGAATTACATACAGAGGAGACTGCCAAATTTCTTGGAGAACTTTGTGAGAAAAATCAAATAGAATGTCCTCCTCCAAGAACCTGTACACGATTACTAGACAAAGTGAATAATGAACTTCATTTTTTTTTAATTTTAATTTTTTTTTTTTTCAAACTCATTTTTTAATCCTATTGATTCCTTTCCTAATCGTAGCTTGTAGGCGAATTTATTGAAGTTGATTGCGTATCACCGGCATTTATTATCGGGCATCCACAAATGATGTCACCATTGGCTAAGGCACATAGGGACATTAAAGGATTATGTGAACGGTTTGAATTATTTGTAGCCACCAAGGAAGTCTGTAATGCTTATACAGAATTAAATGATCCTTTTGATCAGCGTGAAAGATTTGAAGAACAAGCGCGTCAAAAAGAACAAGGTGATGATGAAGCTCAGCTTATTGATGAGACATTCTGTACAAGTCTGGAATATGGTTTGCCTCCGACGTAAGTATATCTTCAAAAAAAAAAAAAAAAAAAAGCAATAATAATTTTTTAGAGGTTCTAATTTTTAAATTTGAATATTTTAGTGGAGGCTGGGGAATGGGTATAGATCGACTTACTATGTTCTTGACTGATAGTTCAAATATTAAGGAAGTCTTACTTTTCCCTGCCATGAAACCTATTGAGGAAAAACCAAACATTAGTGATCTTTAAAGGAAAAAACTTTGATAACTAGTTTATCATGCTATATTTGATTCATAATAATAATAATGAGGATAAAAAGGTTAAAATGTAAAAACTCGAAATGATTATAATTTCAATTCGATTAAGTTATCTAATTTGAATGATTATATTAAAAAATCAATAAAATTTTCGGATTCCCATAATGTGCAATATATTGTTAAGAAAACAAGTTTCTATATTGAGGTGAATTTAAACATTCCGAATAATATAATCTTTATTTAGATACATATTTATACATATTAACGACATAAATTTATAATGCAAGCCATGCTTTTTGTTTTCAAAATACCGAACTTACCCCATTGATCAAATATATGCAATACACTTTTTCTTTTAGTGATTTCCCTTACACGTATTTCCTCCCATAAATTAATATTTACTAATCTTCATTTTGATAAAAAAAATATATATTCTCTATCTATCTTATTATGATTTAATACCATTCTCCTATCTTTCACAATCTAATAGTCATTATTCATATCTGAAAAAATAATTTATATACATTTAAGGATAAAAATAAATAATAAAATATAAGTTAAATTTAAAAGATTTGCCAAATAATTATTTTTTAATATTACATTTTTTTCTCTTGATAACACACTCTCTTTGATCTATTTATTCTCCTCCAATTTGAACTTTTAACTTGCCCCGAAAGTACTTGTTAACAAATGTCTAAAATCATGAAATTGTTGTTCATTGGCGGTCTTTGGTAACAGAAATGAAACGGTCTTGGTATCATTCTCCTTCTCTGTAACATGTTTTGGTAATCTACTATTTTCAATCATAAAACCTTTGGTACATTTTAATACCAATTCACCCCTGCGATAAAGTACTTTTTCTAAATTTTGATCAGAAAACACATCAACATGTGATGGTAATAGTAAGAACGGTAGCGATATTTTTGAGATATCAAATCTGTTTACTGTTCTCAATATATTGCGTAATCCGGATATTACACGCGAACGGTGCGTTAATTCGGATTTTTGGATTGCTAAGTTATTAAAGAGGGGAGAGATTTTATATATTTTTTAAAAAAAAGAAAGGTTCGAATCGGTTGAAGTAAAAATATATATATATATATATATATTCGCTATCAAAAATTTTAAATACTTACATTCAAAATCAATCACCAAGTGAAATACGACATGGACCAAAGGTAGATTGGAATGTCGCGTGATAAAGAAGTCACCTGTCGGAAAGATATAAAATATTAATAGCAATTCTCTTAATGTGAGAAGAAAATGAGCAAGCATACCTTCTTGCAAAGAAGTTCCATCGAGCGAATAATCATTTTCAATGGCTTCTAATTGATTCTCAACATTATTAAAGTGAAACTCTGTAGATTCCTTACATCTCTCGAAAAATCCTTTGTTAGCACTTTTTCCCAACTTATACAATGGCCAATCTTTTGGGGTTAATAATAAAATGATTGCAGTTAAATCTTGAGAGTATAAACTAGCAGCAGTTTGAGCTCTATAAGCCATATCACGAGCAATATCATTAGAAGATTTAAGCAAATCATCCATATCCGAAACCAATAATCTAAGATTATGAGTAACCTTAACTTGATTACCGAGTGATATAGTAAACGATTCAACTAAACGAGGATCTTCTAATTGCATATGATTCCCATTTCCATTCTCTTCTTCAAATCCAAAATTTTCCATAGCCTTATTAATCCATCCACCTAATTTTCTAACAGATGAATTATTTTGGGAGGTCATCATATTATTTTTCTGTTGTTGAAGGAATGTAATTGGCGACCAAGTTCCTTTTTTTTCTTGTTTCTGAATCGCCAACTGCAATTGTTTACTATGTGACTTTGAACGACGATGCGGAGGAGGTGATAATTGTTGTGATTGACTAACCATTGAAGGACGCCGTGGAATCGGAATTGAATTTAACGCACTTCCATTTGCTATTATCGCATCTACTTTCTTCTTGTTATCTAGTAATAACATAATTGCTTCTTGCTACGTGAAACAAGGGATCAAATCAGAAGAAGAAAGAAATTAAATGAGAAAGATATAATAAAATACGAGATTATTTAAAAGTACCATGTTGCCGTTGGCCATCTCGAGAGCTACTTTGGATTGTTCATCGGTGAAGCCCATTTCTTTGATCTTAATAATTTCTTCCTACAAACAAAATTTTAAGTTATAATAAGGTTTGATTCGAAATTCGGTCAAAATGAAATCAAACCTACATTGATATTGCCATTAACAATTAATTTTTCGTCAACATTGCTGGATGATGGCATAGAAGAAGGAGGAGATATTAAAGGAGATGGAAGCATAACTTCTGCCAAACTACTAATACTTCCATGTCTACTCCTACTAGCAGATTTGCTACCATTTGTATATTGATTATCTAATCTTAATAATTCATTTGATAAGTTACATTTATTTTTCATTTCATTTAAAACCTCTAATACAATCTCTCTACCATCTAATCTAATGGTTTGTTGTTGTTCTGACAACAATCGTTGATGTGCTTCATGTAATCTTAACACAAAATTACAATACTCTTGTTTCTGTGATCTTTGAATTTCTTCTAATGCTGATGTCGAAGTTGCTTGAAGAAATTCAATTTCCTTAAAAATTTAATCGGAATCAGGAAAAAAAAATAAACCAAAAAAAAAATAATAAAGAATAAATTCTTTTTTTTTTTTTTTAAAAAAAAGATACCTCAACTTGTCTTTCTATTACTTTAGTTAGTCCACCATCAGCTTGGCTGCCAGATTCTTCAAAATCATCAACTTCTACTTTATGTCGATCATTAATGAGCGACATTTCTCTGTCCCTTGCATTAATTAAATCTTTTATCGCTTGTTTATAAATGCTTTCTAATTGTAAAAATGTATCAAATATTGATGAAACTGGAGAATGAACTAATGTATGATAAGCTTTAGGAAATATATCCTTGAAAAAATTAAAATCGTATTGGAATTAGAGAAAGAGAGAAAGATGCTTGTTAAAGTAAATAAAAGAAAAGAAAAAAAAGGAAACACTTTTAAATGAGAACTTACTTCGGCTGGAGCATCGTTATAGCGAATCGTGTGCCTTTGGTATTTTGCTACAAGTTCGGATCGAATCTTATATGCCTTTGTTTCATTGACTACGATATTTTTTAAATAAATAAATAAATTAAATTAAATTAAATTAAATTATCAAGAATTCATTCTAAAACTCCCACCTCACCTCCACTTCCTTAATTAATACATACTTTCAACGTCTTTTTCCATATCTTTACGCAAACTTGCCATCATTAAAGCTTCAATAGTGGATAAAGTTGACACTTCCAAATAACACGGTATATTATTTTCCATCATAAAATGCCTTACAACGTCTAGCAACAATTGACCTTTTTTAATCACTATTGTTAAAGTGATTGGGTTATTATTCGGTGGCGGACTAAATATTAGTTCAATGCTTAAATTTTTCAATACTTTAGTTGGACTCATGTTGTTGGATCTCTGATAGGATTTTCGATGAGATTTAGGAATTTCTTTATTAAATCTAATAAAAATTTTTTATCAAAAAAAAAAAAGTTTAATTACTTATATATAAGATCACATGAATCAATGACTTAAATGTACCTTGAATATTATTTTTATTTGATTAACCGTGTTTATCTATTTATCAAGTGACTTTTGGATTATTTATTTATATATGTATATATTTATGTAATATTTTAAATTTCCTTAAAATAAATAATCTATTTTTTTTTAAAAAAAAAAAAAAATAAATGATTTGCTGATTTTACTTTTACCATCAAATGAAATCTTTTTTCTTTTGAAAATTAAGGTTAATTAAATTAATTAATATATTAATTATTAATAATAAACATCCGAAAAAAATTCCTTCCGATATTTTTTTTTTAAAAAGATTATCAAGAGAAAAAAAAAAAAAAAAAAAGAATCCTGCAAAGGAAAAACTCTATAATATTTATATATATAAAAAAAAAATTGAATTCCATATTTGTAAAATGTATCACAAACAAAAATAAGCGGGCTTAAAGAAATTTTCATTTTTATGAATCGTAAAAAAAATAATGGGGTATCCTGCACGCCACAAGAATTTTCAGGGGTTCAAGGTTTATTTATCGTGATACAATCAATTTACCGATCATGAACGTGTCAAAGCTCATGAAGTTTTTAAGTCAAAGCTCATTCGTGTTACAACAATTATATTATCAAGGGACAGAAAATTTTCATGCCCGAGGATACTATAAATCAAATAAAAGACAAGTTACTCATATACCGATGGTCATCATAAATCAATGAAGTGCGTGACCCTTTAAAGCTCAGGAGACTCTTATAATGGCTCTAAAATTCCACTAATTCTAGCTTTCAGAAAGATGGAAGAACTGGTGGAAAAATGGCAACATTTCCCGAAAAGTAAGTTGATTTGAAATTTATTATTAAATAAAAAATAAAGGAAAAGGTCAACTGGTTTTATTTGGGAAGGTATAAAACCTTGTTAGCCTGTGGAAAATTTCGCGTCTCTTGCAAATATTGTACATAATATTTTGTTATTATAATTCAATTGTAATTGGTTCTCACCTTGAACTTCTTGATTTTCCCAATTCTTATAGCATATCACTCAATATGGGTCCGTCACAATGAAAAGTAAAGACAAAGACATACATACATATGAAATGGAAGGTTCAATGCATCAATATAACGAAGTCGCTACGACAAAGAAAATCCGAGAACAAAGTTGTGGTTTTTGTTGATAATCTACAAGATAACCATAGAGGGTTTCTATCGAGATTTTAGTTGAAGAATTGATCGAATTTTTAATTATCATGGTCTTGGAGAAGAAAGTATTATTATTCATGCAGACAAATGTACAGGACAAGCAATGATAATACATACATAATGTGGCGTTTTGAAAGTAATTGCAGAAATTTCATCAAAAGAAAGGCGGAATTTAAATGCATTACCTTATTTGGAATATCAAAGAAGCTTTTGAACCTTCATCCAAATGTTTATGCAGTGCCCTCAACCAAGGAAGGTGTTATCACGGGAAGATTGGGACATTCTATGCCGTCGATGTTGGAGAAGTTCTGCTAGGTATATCATGGACATAGTAGGGACGGGACAATCTCAAAAATGTACAACACGCCTTAATGCTTTAAGTATCAATTTGGGTAGAGCATGACATCAACTAATTTGATACATACTTTCGGAAACAAAGAAAAGTTATTTATGGTTTATCTTGATAACCAAAATTATTTTGTTATTTTCTTTGGTATTCCAAACGAATTTCAATGCTAAGACGGATCGATCTGCCTCTAGTGGTCGATAAGCAGCTGAATCTTACGTAAGAACGCAAATGTGATGGTTGGTAGCATTCGATGACCATTAATCTGAATTTTTCTTAAAATTACTTTTTCTAAATAATACTTTCAGTTAAATTATTATTAGGTGCATCCCTGTAATTTGATGTATGGTCAACTTATGTTTATTATGAAACATTCGCTCTTAGTGATATTCAAAAGAAACAATCAAAATAAAAAGGAGCTATTAAAATTTGAGATTGATATATTGAAAGGATTCGATTGTTTGTGAAACCTTTGTAGAAGATCTTCGATAACGGAGCGATTGTTGTTCTATCTATATCATCCAATTGTGTCTGTCCATCATCCAATTTATTGAAATAAAGATACCGATCCCATGTATTCTTAAGTGTAAATGACGAACATCAAACATTGGAGATGTTGATGTGCATTGAACCCCTGAAACCTTCGTGGCGTTATACCCGTATTAGGTAAGTGCAATATTTAGAGTACAACGAGCTTTCAGGAATTTTTTTTGACACTAGTTGAGCAAATTACGTTGTGTTTTCCTTGGGTAACAATGAAAAAATAGAAACAAATTGTTCTTTCGAAAAGAGAAATTTCTGATAGTGATTTCGATATTTCTACTAAAAAAATACTTTGGTTTTCATTTTTGAGTATAATATGGGTATTGTAACTGATACGTACAATGAATTATGCACAATGAACAAACACACCATTGAAAAAAAAAACATTAATTTTTACATTTTTCGGTCGAGTATGACCATACGCGGACACGAATTTTTTTTTATGTTTGTATTAATTGCTTGGACAATTTCTCGCATGCAAAAGAAAAAAAAATATGACCAAAACATGAATGATGAACGTATTAATTAGGGAAGAATTCGTGGAAAAAGAAACTTCCCTTTAACTTTCAAGATCATTTTCGGTTACAAGGTTTTTCTTTTAAACCGCAATCTTTTAAGATAATCTGCGATTCGTAATACAACTGAAGATAAAAATTATCCGAGCGCAATATTGTACCATATTCAAGGAATACATATGCGATATTTTCTTTTTGAATGAATACGTTTTGATATGAATAATGTTCAACGTGTTTGGATTGTAATACCATTGATTATGTTCTCGTGTTTGACTTGTCGCACAGTTATCTTATTTTGCTGCGCATATATATATCACTAAAAAAGTGTTCATTCAGAAAGGGTTCCGAAATAGATTAACTCCGATAAGTTTAAAGTTTAATGTAGCTTAGTTTATTACGTTCTCGTAATACCGTACTTGTAAAGGAGGTTATAATTAACTGTCTAATCAACAGATCTTGAACTTTAGTGAAAAAAATGGTGAACCCAAAAACTTTTTTTTTTTTTTTAAAAATGCATCCATTTTTCTAACCTATGACATTTGATATGAGCGAAATTCAACTAAACCAAATCTTCAAGGATCGACCCCCTTTTAAACCAAATTTGTTCAGGTCAATATTTATCACACAAAAAGTTTATTAGAAACTATTGTTTGTAATTAAAACAATGGGAAATTTTTTTCAAATTCAGTTCAATAAAAAAAAAAAACACAATATTAACTATTGTCATATGTTTTTAGAATAGTCCTACCAACCGTTATTTTATGACAAGGCTTACTTTTTAGTATATATAGACTATTGTGAACCTTGTTATCCTTTTCTCCTTGGAGCTTGTTTCATCAACTGTTTAATAACCTATTTTTGCTGTCAGTCAATCATTCAGGGAAGAGAATAAGAAAATAACACCATAATAAAATAAAAAACGGGGGAAAAAAAAAAAAAACAAAAACAAAAACAACAATTTTTTTTTATTTATTTCAAAAGAAAAAGGAAATAAAAAAAAAATATATACACATATATTTTGTATATTTTGAAACAAAAAACACAAGAGAAAAAATAACCTACTCTAATTTCGGAAGATAGGAAGATATCTCATACAAAACAAAAGTGTCGACAGCAACATCATCAAGAATGACTTCAACAATTTCACAAAACTCACCGTTTCCGCCAAATGCGGTTTACCAACAAAATTCATACCCATCACAAACTTCTTCATATTCACAAATTCCAAGAAATTCACCGTATCAACATCAACAATATCATTCACCCGTTAAGCAAGAATATTCATCATCCTCTTCCTCACCTTCATCAGTATCTTCCGCATCTGCATCTTTTCCATTAGGCACACTTCCACCCTCATTCGATCATAGTCACTTAATAGATGGCATTCCTGTATCATATATTCTCGAAAAATTACATTTATTAGGTCCAACCTATTATAACAATAGACAAACCGCTTACGCTGAACTACTCATTAATTCCCTTCCAAATACTACGTTTTACGTTCATAAAGAATATCTCATTCTTCAATCAATCTTTTTTCGTCAAGTATTTGAGAGGGTAAAAAATGGTGATTGTATAACGATCACTCTCCCCGCCGCTCCCGAAACCTTTCAACCCATATTAGAATATTTATATACTGGTGATGATGACAAATGGTATAGCACCATGACCATAGAGAATTGGTCAAATATTTATAAGAATGTACAATTTCTTGGTTTATGTACCGAAGCTAAAGCTGTTTGTTTGGCTTTTTATGAACACGAGATTGAACCGACTTTACATAGGTCTGCCTAAGGAATTCATGTGTCACAGAAAAGATGAACCACATTTTATTTTTAATTTTTTACTTTTCTTTTTAAGATTTTAATTAGTGTGTACAGATTATTAATTTTTTTTTTATTAAAAAAAAAAAAAATAAGCATTCTTTGTAAATTTCATTTCAATTTCAATTTCAATTTCAATATCAATCTTTTTTAATCTTACTTTTTTTTTTTTTTTTTTTTTTTTTTTTTCAATACTTAAATTGTAATTTATTAATAAAATTTTCAAAAACGAAAATTTTCATAAACTACTTTGTTTCAAAGTTAATTTACCCGTTTGTGAACATCTAAAGTACAACAATAAATCTCACAAAAAAAAAACTTTGCAAGTCGACAAATTAAGTGCGGGCGAAGGAGCAAATTGCATTCACGCGTAGATACATTTTTGTTTGTGATACACATGAAATTTAATGTTGCGATTGGTGTAACTCTGATCAAGATATAAATCTTGATTTCCGGTTTTTTATAATATTTTTCCGTTCCCTTCCCTTTTTGTTTTATTTTTAATAGAATGCTTTCGATCTCATGGATCATTTTATTATTCACTTTGCTTTTCTTAATAAGGTTATTTCATACATTACCACGGCGTCATAAAGACAACCCTATAGTTCCCCCGTCTAATCGACCTAAACCATCAATTAAAACCTGTATAATATTAGGATCCGGTATTTACGATTGATGAATTCCAATATTTAATCCTTATTCAGGTTTTAATGATTTTAAACAAATAATTAGGAGGACATACGATGGAAATGTTCCAATTGATAGAGGGGTTGGATCTTAAAACAGTTTACCGACCGAGAATATATGTTGTGACCGATAATGATTATTTAAGTTTGCAAAAAGTTGTCGAATTTGAAAATAGGAAATCTGGTGATCATCATAATGATGTATGCAATATAAACTACTATATTTCTCTCTCGCTCTCTCTTTTTTTTTGTTTGTTTGTTTGAATGTTAAAATTCGAGAATGACTTTTTTGCGAATAAAAAAAAAGCACGTTGTTAAAATGATACCGAGAAGTAGACAAGTTGGACAATCTTGGTTAACCACCCCATTTAGCGTCCTTAAAGCCTTAATTAAATGTATCAGCCTAATATTTGGTGAATTACCGGATCTAGTAAGAAATCCTTTTTACTTTTTGTAAATTTTTTTTTTTTTTTTACAAATGAATCTTATTTGATTCTGGTAGATAATATGTAATGGACCAGGAAGTTGCATTCCTGTTTGTGTTATTTCTTACATTCCCAGAGTAAGTTGGATTCAATTAAATTAGTTGTACAAAGAAAGAAATTTTTTTAAAATCATTTTTTTTTTCTTTTTAGATATTGGGAATTAAATGGATAAAATTGATTTATGTAGAATCATTTGCTAGAGTTAAAACATTATCATTATCAGGGAAATTATTATATATTTTCGTAGATAGATTCTTAGTACAGTGGCCTTACTTTGCAGAAAAATATCCCAATGCTGAATATAAAGGTCTTCTTGTATAAATATTTAAATACTTAAAGTAAGAGAATTAAAAAAACATATATTTATTTAATTTATTTATTTTTCTTTAACCGGATGATCTTATTAAATACTTTTTAGTTAATTAAGAATAATATTAATTTTAAGCAAATTAATAATTTTCTGATATAATATCAAATTAATTAAATTAAATTAAATTAAATTTTTAATTTTTAATAATTTAAATTTAAATTTAGATTAATATAAAAGAAAAAAAATTTTTTAATTTTTTTTTTTTTTAATTATAAATATTTAATAGTTTTTAAATATTTTGTATTAAATAATTGTAATATTTATAATTGGTAAAATTTGTTAAGTTTTTGCTTAATAAATTTTACTTATTATACTACTTATTAAAATAATTATAAAATGTAATAATATTGAATAATTGTTTTATTAAACTTAATATAAGTTTATTTAAAAGTTTATTTTCTTATTAAAAATAAATTCTTTACATATTTTTCTTTTTTAATATATACATTTTATTGGTTCTATTTATTTTTTATTTTGTTATTCCTTAGATTATTTAGCAAATACAAACTTAAAAAAGTATATATTGTTACTATAAAATTCTTTAACTCAGATTAATTATATTCTTAACTCTTTATTTAAGATTATTATCTGTAATTAGGATGTTAAAATCTGTTTAACATTTAACTTTAATCAAATTTACATATTAAATTTAACAAATCTATCAAGAATTCAGATGACAAATTCAATTATAAATTTTGTGTAAGAATTATATTAAACTATATAAAGATATAAAAAAACAAAAAGTTATAAGTTTAATTGATTCCTTTATTGTCTAAAGCGAAGCGTAGAACAATATACTTTTAGGAATTAGAGTGAAAAATTGCACTGTTACGTGAGAATTCCATCTGTCCTACCGCATTACGTAAGATCAGATCAAAATAATCAACAATAAACCAAGTAGGGTAACTTGTATAGCTTGTAGCACCTGAACAAAATCAGTACAAAAGAAAAAAACAATACATTTATACTTTTTTTTTTACTCGTTACATTTTATTGAATTTTTTTTTACCGTTATCTGTTAAATTTTTTATTGAATATTTTTAGATATTATTACTAGGCAACTGAAGCCGTTAAGAGTCCAGAGCAAAAATTCACTTTACAAAATCTTTATTTTTGTTTTTTGTTATTATTATTTTTATTATATTTTTAATATATTGTACCTTTGTGATATTTTTAATGTAATATTTTATTGCTTAAAAAAATAAAAACACAGTTTTGGAAATTTAGGAAACTTTGAAAATTATGAAGTTTATTGTTGAAACAAGTTATTATGTGCTTCTTACAACTTATGTCAATTTTTAGGTATCATTGAAACTAGTTGCTCTTCTTCGATTTTCCTTTCTTGCAATCTTCTATAGTCTTTAATGTGCTGGAGTCTTTCGAAATTGAAAGGTTAGAAGAGAATATCTCTCATAGTGCGGACCTGAAACATTGTCACAAATGAAAGGCCAGCTGCAAACTCCTTATCACTAAGATTTATTACAGTTTTTTATAGTGTAAGTCCTTGACTTTTATGTACAGTAATGGCCTATGCAAAACGAATAGGAACTTGTAAGCGTAAACATAATGTTCTGGATTTGCTCTCCCAGATACATCGAATGGGTGCAATTGGGACAACTTTTGTACCTTTTAAGGTAGCAATAGTGAGGTCTTTATAATTTTTAAATGAAATGAGAACTGCTATAGGAAGAAAAGGTGATCCTTGATCCTCTCTAAACAAAATATCCTGGACGATTCCCAGTGCACTATTGACCAAGCCAGCTTCTGTCCACAAATTTGATGTCAACATAATATGTACGCCTCTTGCTAGCAGCAATTGTGCTTCAAGACTATGTGCAATATCAAAATCTACTTTTTTGGCTTCGTTGCTGCCTATGTGTATGGCAAGAATTCTAGCAACAGGAATGTTTAAAAACCTGAGTCAGTCTATATTCATTGCATCAATGTTGACCCATTTCATTAGGATGAACATAACATCAGAAAATTTATTACATTCTGTTTTATTTAATCTCCCTTCGAATCGTGTGATAAGAGTCCTTCAGTCAGCTAAAGTAAACTTTCCATCGCGCAATCTTAAGAGGAGAAATCTAAAGTCCTGTTACTCTTGAGAATTTCTGGATTGGCGTTAAACAACATCAAGCTTATACACCTTCTTAAATAGGATGTATGCGATAAGACCATTATTAGAAAGTGGATCTTGTAAAACTTTTGTATACATCGGGAGATCAAGTACAGGCGGGAGCTGGTCGAAATCTCCAAATATAATAACTGATCTCCCACCAAAGGGTTCATTATTATTTTCAAAAAAAGTCTACCGAAGTCACATATCAATAAGACCAAGCATTCGGCGACCAATCATACTTTTCTCATCTATTATAATATATCTTACACTTTCCAATCTATTCTGTAGCAACTTCAGCTGTTCCCTTTTTATATCAAGATTACTATCGCTAATTATTAGAATGAAAAGCGTTGAATGAATCGTCATTCTACTTATATTGAAAGCTGTAACACCTGTTGACGCAACCACTAGTTAATATTTACATTTTATTAAATGTCACAATTTTTATATTTTATTACAATTATAAAAAAATTAATACTTAAATAAGAATTAGTATAACTATTTATTAAATTTGCTTATATCAGAAAAATTACAATTTTTATTTAATAAACTTTTACAAATAGTAAGGAGTTTGCTAATTTTGCTTCAGACTCACAACGGTTTCCGTTGCCTAGTTTATTTTAGAATTTAGAAAATAATCATGAATATCTTCAGATGATTGCTGATGTTGAAACAAGATGGAACTCCAGTTATCTTGTATAGAAATGCTTAATAAAAATTAAGGATTTCATTGATATTTTAGTATCGACTATGATGATTGATCCTGATTCTTCAACACGACGAGATGGTAAACGACTAAAAAATATAAATTTAACAGAAGCTGAATAGCAAGAAATAAGTAAATTGATTATAATTTTAGAAGATTTTGCTGGAGCAACTGAAATTTTAGGTGGAAAGAAATATATAACTATTAGTTTAATGTATAGTATATTAGCAGTAATTAATCAAAAATTAATACCAGATGATAATTCTGATGTTGAAATTATAGATTTAACAAATCCAAATACAGCCTTTGATGATGATATTGGTTATGAAGATGCATTAGAAGATGAACCAATTACTGAATGACCTAAACGCAGAAAAATTAATATTAATATTCTACAAGACTGCAACAACCTTACAAATCGTATTAAAATGGCATTATATAAATCAATGAATCATTATTGGGAAGTTTCACAAGAAGAAGGAACATTGACTGCTTTGCTAGATCCAAGATTCAAGGATTTAAAATTTGCTTCTGAATCATTGAACATTAGAACTTATGAACAGTTAAAAAATGCATATCAAAATATGAAAAACTTAACTGATGAAGATCAAGAAGTTGAATTTAGAGCAGTTTCATCAAATTCATTATTAGCAAAAATGTTTCAAGATAATATTAATTGTGCTGATGAAGTAGCTAATTATCTGGCTTTACCCAATATTCATCCTGACGATTGTCCTTTATTATGGTAGAAAACTAATAATACTAGGTTTCCAATATTATCGAAATTAATAAGAAAATACTTGGCGATTCCTGCTACCTCAACTCCAAGTGAAAGGCTTTTTAGCGAAGCTGGTAATATAATGACCATAAAAAGAACACAATTAGCATTAAATACATTGGAAAATTTGGTTTGTTATAAAAAGAATTGGCATTTAGCTGGGGAGATTTTTCCATTAAATGAGAAATAATTAAATAATGTGTATGTACTACCGGAAATTAACAAATTAATAAAGTCATTATAAAAAAGCATTCGCCTTTATCAAAATTCTTAAGTTTTAATGTATTGATAAAAATAAATAACATTTTATTAATTTTTTCTTTTGTATCCATATATCCGGATTAGACCACTAATGAATCCGTTACGGATTTATCCTTTATCCGGATTTCTTACGGATAGCAATCTGGATTCATGATGGAAGTCACGAATCATCTGTTTGCGGATAAACATATATCCAGATCGGACCACTAGTGCTCTGGATTTGTTGCTGGCTTCTCCAAAGGTTAAGGTATTGTACACTCCCCGGTCAAAAGTATTGGACCAAAAAAAAAGTTATCGCAACTTTTAAATTTATGACTAATTTTAATTT